ACTCACTCAGAATGATGTTCTCCATTTCCATCCATTTACTAGCGAATGATAACATTTCGTTCTTCTTCATGGCTGCATAAAATTCCACTGTGTACAAGTACCACATTTTCTTGATCCATTCATCAATAGTGGTGCATGTTGGTTGTTTCCATACAGTGGCTACTGTGAATAGTGCTGCAATAAACATGGGTATGCAGGTGCCTCTGGAGTAACCTGTGTCACAGTCTTTTGGGTTAAACGTTACTTTTAGCAACCAAAGTGGTCAGATTTTCAAAAGTTGGTATCACTAATCTATGAATTTACCCTACTTAATAAGACACTCATTATTTCAAGTAATAGACATCAAAAATGTAATAAGGACAACTAAATTATTAGTTTCTTTAATGGAGAAAAAAACATGGTTTAAAAAAAAAGCACAAACACTACATGATCTTACTTATTATAGTAACTTGAACATTAATCATTTCAGTGCAGTTTATAACTGATTTATTTCCAGGCAACAAAGGCTTATACCTGTAATCTTAGCTACTTGGAAGACTGAGACTGGAGGATTGTGGTTCAAGGTCAGCCTGGACAAAATGTTTGCAAGACTCCAACTCAGTGGAAAAAAAGATGGGCGTGGTAGCACACGCCTGTCAGTACAGATACAGTAGGAACCCTAAAATAAGAGGATTGCAGTCCAGGTCAATCTGTGCAAAAAGGGAGACCCTATCTCCAAAATCACCAGAGTAAAAAGGTCTAGAGGTAGAGCACCTGCTCTGCCAGTAGGAAGCCCTCAGTACTGTCCAAAATAAAACAAAAACTTTGTTTGAGGGCTGGCCTCAAACTTGAGATCCTCCTGCCTCTGCCTCCTGAGTAGCTGGGATTACAGGACATGCTCTACCACACCCAACCAAAAAAAACAAAAAACAAAAACCAAAACATTACCTTTTGAAAATGTGACTGGTTGTTTGTGAAAACAGAAGAAATATTTAAGTCCTTTCATAGTTCTATAATTGCTACAGGAAAGGGTATTTCATGATAGTTAAGCATTATTTCTAAGGCAGAGTAATCAGATAAAGAATAGACTGAGCAAAAGAAACTAAATGTAGTAAACCTATCACTAAAACATCCAGAAAGACAAAGATATAAAGTTTGTACCCTAATAATTTGGGGATTCGAATCAGGGGCTTACCTAAAACATAAACTAGAAAGAGTTATATACTCCCTTAAAAAACAAAGAACAGCATAAATTTATCTGCACTGTTTATGCTTTGGGTAGATGAAAAAAGTCACCCAAATTTATACTAACCATACAGTCAAAGGCCTATAAATAAATAGATCCAGAGCTGGGCACTTGGAAAACACAAAATTATCTATCACTTGAACACACAGTCCAGGGCTCTGAGATACCCAAAGAAAATACAGGCTACACTAAAGATAAATTTGCAATCCAAGATTACCATACAGAGAGGAAACATTTCACTATGAATAAGCCAAACACATATAATTTGACAATTAAAGACAAGAATATAAAATAATTGTGTTTTAGGTGACTAGAGAAGAAATTGTAAACCATTAGAATAAGAAATCATTTATAAATAGCAGATTTGTGAAGAACTCTATAGTAAAATTTAAAGAACCAAGTAGCTTCTAAAGCCACTGAATCTTCTATTTCTGGTATATTATACATTCTAAGTCAGGCATGATGGTGCACACCTATAATCCTACCACTGAAGAAACTGAGACAGGAGGATTCTGAATTTGAGTCCAGCCTGGGTTACACAAAAAATAAAGCAGGTGTGGTAGCAGATGTCTGTGGTCCCAGATATGCAGAAAGCATAGATAAGAAAATCATGGTCAGAGGTCAGCCCTGGCAAACGTGGGACCTTATCTGAGAAAACAACCTAAAGCAAAAAGGGCTAGAGGCATGGCTCTATGGTACAGAACCTGCTTAGCAAACTCGAGGCCCTGAGTTCAATCCCCAATACCACCTAAAAAACAAAGATCCAAAACAATTTCAAGCCAGGCATAATGGTGCATACCTGTGGTCCTAGCACTTGAGAGGCTGAGACAGGAAGATCACAAGTTCTAGTCCACCCTGGGCTACATAACAAGATTCTTGTCAAAAAGAAGGGGTGGGGGGGACAGAAAATCAAATTCAATATTCTCATAGGTCTTCCCACTACAAAATAACTAGATCTACTGCAGAGCCCAGCTAATCTTCTACTTTCAGAAAGTAATGATAAGCCACAGGGATATTTCAGCAGGATAATAAAGTTATTTTAAGATCTTTCCCTTAAAGAAAAATAAAGGACAGAAATACAAAAGCAATCTTAGAGCTGGCAATGTAACTTAGTGGTGGAGCACTTGCCTAGCATGTGCAAGGCCCTGGGTTTGATCCCCAGCACTGAAAAAAGAAGAAAAAAAAAAGGCAGTCCTACTGTTAAAAGAAACATTTGTTGTAGAAAGAGTGGTGACACTCAAGGCATTGTCATAGATACCTATTGTATAAAAACACAAACTCAATCTCCAGAAGTGACTACCACTCATGCCACTTGACCAGCTAAGTTCCAAGATGTCCCCACTAACTTAAACCATCAGAATGGCCTCTTAGGTGAAGGGCCCTGTAGTGACATCAGCTCCTACTTTTGGCAAATACAGTTATCCGAAACATGGTATTTCAAAAACTCCATTTCTGAGCAGTCTGTCCCCAGAATCCGATGAAATTTTAGACACATAACTTCTATTCTGACAACAGACAGTGAACTAGATTAGGAAATAAACAAAAGTTGTCTATTTTTACTTAATACTAGTCTACAGTGTCACCTTTGGTGATTAGAAGACTAAGGTTTTCAGAGATGGCACATTTGCTATGTTTAATAAAGCAACTAAAAACTGCTGTATTCTTCTGATCATTTTCTATCTTTAATGTAAGATTCTTTTCAAGTAGTAAGGCTAAAATAGTAGTCATCAAAATGACGAATATTTTTGTTTTTATAACTTTCCAGCATCCTACTCCCTGAGAGTTTGTTAACCTAGCTGAATCAGTCAGGACATCATTACTCAGAACATAAAATGGGACTACTCCAAACATTTCATAAAAACATGAACCAAGGTTACCAATCACATACTCTTACACAGTTTTCATTATTTTGACCAGGTGTTCTGTGGGAGTTGAAATGTTGTTGCCTAGCATTATAATCATAGGAATACCATTTTTACTAAAAAGATTACAGTTAATTTCTCAAACCACCATACCACAAATTCTCAATTAGAATGGATACTCTCATTCACACCTGCTAGAAACCAACACAAGAATGAGTGAATCTTTTTTCCAGTATATTAAAACCTGTGGGCTTCCACTGAACACTGACAAGTCAAAGACAGAGGTATCAATAAACAAAAAGGATTCTCTGTTCTGTGTTTGTCTTTGCTTCACTAAATTTCTAAGTGATTTCTGTAATACTTCTTACTTGGTATTAACTAAGAACTCATTTGACTTTACTTGTACAAGAAAGGCAAATAATTTGCATGAAAGCAAAGTGGAACTTGCTTTCATGCAATTATTACTATTACAATTATTTCATGCAATTATACCTATTACTGTCAATTATAATTTCATCCCACACAGCACCATTTACACCAATTTCTCTGTTCATAACATATCACAGTGATGTTCACAATGATGATTTCCAGCAATAAGTAAAGACTTAAATTATGCTTATTATAAGCATTTTTAAATCACCAAAGTATATATGATAAGAAGAATTTCACCAAAATACAGCTGAACACCAGGAGCAGTGGCTCATGTCTGTAATCCCAATTACTCAGGAGGCAGAGATCAAGAGGATCATGGTTCTAGGTCAACCAAGGCAAAAAGATAGCACGAGCCCATCTCAAGAAATAGACTAGAAGTGGTGGTTCACATCTGTAATCTCAGTTGTACAAGAGGCATAGGTATGAGGATCATGATCTGAGGCCAGCACAGGCAAAAAAACATGAGACTCTATCTAAAAACTACCTAAAGCAAAAGGGGTTAGGGGCATGGATCAAGTGGTGAAGAGCATGCCTAGTAAATGAGAAGCCCTGAGTTCAAACTCCAGCACTACCAAAAAAAAAAAAAAGAAAGAAAAAAACCTCACTAAAATTTATATTTTAAATTTCTGAGAACTGGTATAATGAAACTAATGCAGATTCTTAACTTTTTACTTTATTTTTGAATTAGAATACATTAATAATGTGAGGAGATTCTTAACTTTTGGGGAGTATTAGTTTGCTTACTTATAAAATGTGAGAAGTTACCACCTACCTCTTAGATTTATTGTGAGAATAAAAAAGCACAGCAGATACTAGAAATAGTCAATAAAAGGGACATTTGTATACACTTCAAACAGTCTACTTTTAGAGATTTCTACTTTGCAATTACTTCCTTGTGCCTTTACATTGCTTAGGGATTTTTTTGGTTGTTTATAACTTAGGATCTTGTGATAAGATCACTAGAATCTTCACCACTCTTATCAATTATTCTACCTGTTTGAGTATTGCAATTTAAAGGAATATGTCAAAAACACCAACCAGGGCAGGGGATGTAGCTCAATGGTAGAGTAATAGCATGTGCCCCAGCACTGAAGGAAAAAAAAAACACCAAGCCAAAAATTCACACCTAGTGTTTGAAAGAAAAGGCCTGAGTCAGAGGAAGTAGTTCAGTGTTACAGTGTGTGCATGCATAAAACCCTAGGTTCAATCCTCAATACTGCAAAAAAGAAAATGGCCTGGCTAAGTGAGAATTCTTTTCCTAAAATTTAGATCTTCAAGTTTGTGACAGTACTCACATTTAATTATACACATTAATTACAAAATATTACATAATTGAAATGTCAAAGAAACTAAAGCAAAAATTTCTATAAAAGCCCAGTAAGTCATTTGTGCTAACTTTTTATATTTATGTAGACAAGAAAAAAAGTTCTAAAATTTCTATTACCTTAATAGTCCTATGTGATTTATACACTAACCTGGTAGAAATGCGACTAAAGACTGCATTGAAGTTGTTGCAGCTGAGAGAAAATAAAACCCCAGAGGCAGAATTCCGAAGTTCAGCTGCGTGTTGGTTTCCTTCACGACAGGTGTGAAGAAAATGGCAGATTTCTGGCAGTAACTGTTTGACCAGCATCGTTTCATCTAATCTCATTGTGTCCTTTGGTTGCTAAAATAGAAATAATCACATAATTCTGAAACTTTCTCAATTTGACCTGCAAACATTTGCTATTATGAACATTTTCAAGCTTACAGGAGTGCTGACATAGAATAATGAACACCCATATGGCCTTCACCCTACATTCAACAATTATTAACATTTCCTAATGTGTGTTGCATCTATCTACAGATGGCCTCATAAAGAAGATAGTTCCATCTTTCCCTCTGTAATTACAACTAAAGCCCAGCCCTCTAACCAACCTCATTATACTCCCATTTCTGCTGCTTCCTTGTGTATGAAATGAGCTCTTCCCTTCTGGAAACTCCAAGTTTGGTGTGAGTTCTAAATAAACTTCATTCTTATTCTCTTGTGAGTATATTTTATCATTTGTTTTAACATTAAATAAATTCCTGGGTGGGAATCACACCAAAAAAGATAGTACTTACTACAAATAGAGTTGTTTAGGTAGAATCATTTCAAAGTAAGTTATAAACATCATAATAATTCACCCCTTATGGACTTCACCACGTCTTAAAAGTAAGGATTTTCTTCAACTTCAATACAACTAATACATCAAAGAAAAATAAACAATTCCACTTGTATTATCTAACGCCCAATTTGTATTCACAAATGCCTGCTCGCAAAATGTCTTTCATAGTTTTTTATTCAACCAATAGGACTGCTATGTTCCTTCAACTTCTTTATTCTAGAGCAATCTCACTCACATTCCCCATGCATCACTTCTATATCCCATGGATATTTACTTAAACTAGGCCAGTTGCCTTACGGAATGTTCCATATTAGAGATCTGATTATTTCCTAATGGTATAACTTACTCATTCTTCTAGCTTCTGTATTTTCTGTAAGCAGGAATTTAAGTCTACTAGTTTGATTCGATTTGGGTCAAATAATTAAGGTAATTAGGTATAGCTCATATTTTATCACATCAGGAGCACATAACACCAGGTGGTCTCTACTTTGTAAAATACATGTATACTTTACAAGTACAATATCAACCAATAGATAAGTCATCCTGAAGATAAGCTGTTTCCTATCATTCATTCACCTAGATATCATGGTTTTGATAGTCATTCAAGGATAACCATTTTGGTAACACTGAGAAGGAGGCCAATTTCAAGAACAGAAAACTGTATAACTGTATACTAACCCCTAATTCTGTGATTGCAATCCAAGTGCTCTCAGATGCAAATACACAAAAATACACATAAAGTAAATGAGTAAATTCTCAAAACCTGCAAAGCTTAAGTTATAATGTCTACTTCTTATACAGGCTAACAAAATAATACAGATGTTGAAACTAACCACAATAAATAAACAGAAATGAGAGAAGTATTAAATCTTTTAAATAGTTATATACAGTAAGATTCTTCAGATTCTACAAAGTTTTAATCATAACATAATAACGATAAGGGTTTTCCTTCACTTAGCTGTTCCAACTACTTATATGACAAACATATACTTGTATGTTCCATTCTTCTTAAATTGTCTTTACTTTATTTGATCTAAATATGAAACTCCACTTAGACATTAACAAAATACAAGGTATTATTAAAAGGAAAAAAAGAAAGCTGTAAAATAAATAAGAACCAAGAGACAGCCATAAAATAGAAAGCAACCTAACAATTGTTCCCTAATATGAATGTTATGTTTTAAATTGTAGACTAATGAAAATGAAAAAAAAAAACTGATACAGTTCTAAGGATGTAGTTCAGTGGTAGAGTGTATGCCTAGCACAAAGCCCTGGGTATAATCCTTAGCTTTAAAACAAACAAACAAAACCCTTATAACATTTTCAATAGTAGAGCAAGGCAAGGATATACAGATTTTACATGTGGCAACTTATAAGCATTACTATTAAGCTATCTCCAAAGAGTATTATATCAAGCATGGGCCAATAAACATCAGTGATCATTCTCCAACATGTATTTATCATGAAAAAAGCTATGGATACTGAAAAATGCAATAAATTGGCCTACCCCCATTCAATGATGGATGTGGCTGATATGCTGGTAATTATAAATTAATAAGATTGCTACAAAGAATTGGTTCAGAAGTTTAAAAGCTGCCCACCATTCAAATTCTACCATACATACCAGTGCTTTTGCTCTTTCACACCACTTCACAATGAACAATTTAACTGAAGTCACCAAGCTAACACAACCACTCCCCTTCAATTTATGTAGAAAACTTACACTATTAAACAACTCTGGAATATAGTCAAGGCTCAATACAAGAGTTTAAGATGCTACGCTTAGATTTTGTGGCCTACAGGCTTCCTTAGGAAAACAAAGTTGTGTAAATATCATCATTTTTCTAACTCCCTACCAATCCCTTCCTCAAACACCTCTGACCATTTCCTCTCTTCTCAATCAGTCCTCATACATTAGTCTCTTCTGTTTAGGTTCACATTAGAGAACTGTTAACATATGTAGAAGAGAAAAGCCATTCTGAATAAAATTAAAATTCTGAATTCTGTGCCAAATGAATAAGTTAAACCTAAAACATATGGAATAGACAGATCCTTAAAATGGAGGTATTTAATTTATATATTAATATAAACTAATCATGTTCCAGGAAAAATTAAAGTTACTGAAGAATAACCTTAATTTCTTAAGGTTATTTCTGCTTTACACAACAGAAATATTTTTGAAAAAGTTCAAATTAAGTCATCATTGAAATACATGGAGATAGCTACATAAAGGAAATGTGGAAAAGAAAGTACATATTATACATTTTTGTATTTACACAACAAATGAGTGTTAAGACAGTATCTATCATGAGTAGAATAGGTTCAATTTTCAAGGTCTCTTTTATATAGACTTTATGCTAAAGTCACATTCATACAAGAGGAAGAAGTATGCTTACTCATGGTCTTCTGCATCACATTCTTTCACAGTTATGTAATGACAAGGCCTAACAGTACTTGAGAAATTAATTACCTCAAATAGTGATTTTTGTCAAAAGAATCATTTCTACGAAACATGAGAGACAGATACTTGGCTCAAGCCTAATTTTTTATAAGTAAACTTAATTTTTTTTTTTGAGACAAGGTAGCCAAGATTGAGCTTCAACTTTCAATCCTGCCTCTGCTTCCCAAATACCAGGATTACAGGAATGTGCCACCATGCCCAGCTACTACCTATATAATTTTCAAACCATGAGAGAATAATTTTCTCTAAAAAGTTGTCTGTGCCAGCAGGTCAGCTATATTAACAAAATTCAAATTCATATATCTTAGACAAAAAGTCCATATTCTTCTTGTCCATAGGTACACCAGACCATTCTCAAGATTGAATTCACAAACCCTGCCTCCTTAAGAATGGATTTACTTACCCCAGCAAGACATTTTTCCAGTGTATCCAATATAATCAACTGAGAGAGATATAAATTTTTTTCTGCAGCTTCTCCAAATATCCTCTAAAAGAAATGATATTCAGAATGTAAAAGTTGGTTATCATGCTCCACTGTAAATCAACAAACATCTGAAAAATGAGGGACTGAGGATCAAGAAAAATTAGTAATGTCATATTTTATCTTCTAGATTATTCTATACCTAAATCTATTATTTCTGTTTTTACCCTAATCTTCACAAAATAAGACAGACCCTCAGGCAAACAAATGGAGGCTTTTATTAGACTGCCATTAGCTCTGTAACAGTAAAAAATACTGTTTTGCCTGATGTTTTGTAAACATCTATGATTTAGAAAACTATACCAGAATCTTGAATTGAGCATTTAAACATACTTTTGTGCTGCAAAGCAATCAAAGTCTTAATTCGTATAACAACAAAGTACTATTGTACCTACTAGTGAACTTTAAGCATTCACTGTCCTGAAACTAAATGCTAGACCATCTGTTTACTACAAGACACTATGGTTTCCACAATATAACTTATACTGTATCAGTAAGTAAATGCCAGTATCACAAAACTGTTTTTTAAAGAGTGTCCCAAATATTAAAATATTTCAATCTAACTGTGAACACGGTCACTTCTTTATATGTGCAAAATCCTAATTCTGTGCCACACACACTGTCTAACAACAGCTCTGACAAAATAGTAGATGTAATTCTGTATATCACTTTATATTGCATAAAAGATCCTGTACTTTTTTAGAAAAGTTTAATTTTTTTCCATAAAGAAACATTTTCTTTATCAGGCAAATGTCTGCTCACACCTCTGGTTTATCAGTTCTGTAACTGACACAGAGGCGTGGGCAGTTGTTTGGGGTACAAAGAACTTTTTTGTGTGTGTGATGTGAACCCATGGGCAAGGGCGCATACTAGGCAAGTACTCTACCACTTGAGCTATGTCCTAAGCCCTAAGCAACTTTCTTAAAAGGAAACATACCAAAGACAATGTGACTATAAAAATGGGGTTGGATCGTCATAATTTAAAACCAGAAGTTGTTTTGCAGGTCAATACAAACAATGTAATTGAGATCACTAGTGCTAAGGATAAGCAGAGAGCTTGGAATTCAGAAAAACCTAGACCAGTTGCTTTGAACTGAGTACAAAGAAGATGGATAGACAGAAATCGTTAGGGAAGGAGGGAGTGCTTGAGCGACATAAGAGACATTGTATGTTTAAAAGTACAAAGGGAGAACAGCAAGATACCTTAAAATTAAGAAAATGTCAATAGATTCTATGTAAATGGGGGAATAGAAGCAAATATGAGCTTTTAATACAATGACTTGATGAAATCGGTAAATGGTAATCACTTGAGGAAAGTTCTTTCAACACAGGTTCTCTACTACATAATCTGTCATAGGTTACAGGCAAAGAAAAAAACATTAATATGATCATAAAAATCAAACCCCCATTTTAGGAGTAAAAGATGGTTATTTTATTTGTCATCTACTTGGGATTAGTCAATCTAGTATACAAATTCAAATAAGAAACTGAAGAAAAGCACATACTAGATTACATAGCATAATGTGGCTGAAAGGACAGTTCAGAGATAGAGAACTAGCCTAGATCTGCAAGGACCTGCTTTTGATCCCCAGCACTGTGGGCCGGGAGAGATTCTATACCATACCATGGTTGATTCATGTATGATACAAAAGTTCTATAAAACCTTCATTATTCTAAGGAAATAGAACCATGAATAAGAGAAGTTGCTGAGGAAAAGAACATAAAATGAAAGTTTAAAGTTATGCCTGTGATCACCCATAAAATAAATCATATCTAAAATTCACAAACAATTATTTACCATTCTTCAAAATATGATGCCCAAACCTTCTAAATCAAACCAAAACAAAACAAGGCAAAATTCACCAAAAAAATAGTAACCCAAACACTTACCATATTGTTAACATTCTTTAAGATAGTAGTGAGGCCACTTATAACCAAAGAAAACTTGTATTTGGAAATATTGATCAGACATTCCTTGTTGTGTTCAGTGCTGACTTTGGTATGTGTGTTCTGTTGTCCTGTTTTAATTGGAAGCTGAGAAAACAAAAGTTTAGAGCTTATCCTTCAAAATGACTAAAAAAAAAAAACTTTTCTCACTGAAAAATCATGACATTTTAGGAAAACTATCAACAAAAGTTACCTATACTTGTATTTCAAACGCCATTTTTCAATATATCATAGCATTATAGGAAATATAAAATTTTTGGAAATTTTAATTTTTGCAGTTTTATTTCTAGAAGTCATTAATCTATCTACAAAATTAATGCTTTTACCCAGCACTATAAGAAGGAATAATAACTCACAGAAAGAGCTATTTCCTTATAGCTAAAAAATATTTCAGAGAATGCCTATTTTAAAAAAAAAAAATCACACATCCTTGAAGCCAAACATTAAAAGAACAACAGATTGAGAAAAATCTATACCCCAGACCTGCAGTCCCTAATTGCAAATACCA